TATGAGATCTTGTGGGTAGATGATAAATGTTTACTAAGCTGTCTGGGGAACGATGTTCCTTGGCCTTTACTTTATCCTTCACACTGGTGTCTGTGAAAACCTCTGCAAGTTTTCTGATTATTTTAGATGCATTTTCATACATACTGGCATGCTACTTGAAATCTTGTCATGCACTCTAAATAGCAATATTGGGAGAATCATTTAAGAAAAATTCCATTTTTAGCATGATTTTTCAGGAACAAATTAAACTAGCCAAGAAAGACACATTCACTTGGTAAATTAATTACAGTAGCATGTTGGTAGCACCACGTAGTTTGTAAGAAGAGATTAAAAAACGAAATAATCATCCTGGCATCCTCAATGTTGCTTCCTAGGTGTGGTGTGGCACTGGACACCTGGATGTTTCCTCTGGATGAGGAGATCTTCCCAGGAGTGAAGCAGCCAATCTTTTTTATAAACTCTGAAAAATTCCAGTGGATTGGGAATATCATCCGCATGAAGAAGTTGGACTCTGCTATCTTTCCTAGAAAAATGATAACCATCAAGTCAGTCTCTTTTTTTTTTCAAGTCAAGTTGTAATTCAGTCTGAAAAATGTGCTTCATTTAATTGTGCTGTACTATTTTTGGCAGAGGGACGGTCCATCAGAGCTTCCCAGATTTCACATTTCTTACTGGGAACTGGATTGGAAGGCTCATGAAGCTAAAAGGAGATATTGATCCACACATAGCCTTGGATCTTTCTAACAAAGCAACTTTGGCTTTTCTTCAACGCCACTTAAGTGAGTTATTTACGTTTTTGGGTTTGTGTGCTCCAGATCACTTTCTGTTTATTTAACTACTTATTTAACTACACTTAAAAGGTTTGGGGTCAACAACATTACATCACATCCCCCAAACATTACATCACATCACATCAGTAGTGTGCATAATACTGTTTTTGCAATATCTAACATCTTTTTATTTTCTAGATATGGACAGAGACTTTAATCAGTGGGATCCTTTAATTGATGGAAAAGATGACAACTTGATTCCAGGAACCAACATTACTATACCACAGTCATCTATTTAATCGAGTAACATGAAATGTGTATCGGCACAATGATTTTGTAATCTTGCAAATGCACATTTAACAAATGGGAGTCAGAAGGTTACATGTTTGAGAAAGGGCCAATCTATCATTATGCAAAATCTGTTTTTGAAATTTCATAAGAGAACATTTTTGACTGCTGTGTATGAATACGATTGAATTTGCACTATGGATTAGACGGTGATCTGATGTAAATTTCATTGCGCATTTTTTAAATGGCAAAACTACACAATCTATACAGGATGACTTGTAAATGGTACCACTTGCTAACAGCCACATATTTGCAAAACAGACAGTGCAATAGACTTTAAAGTTTTTAACACTTCACCATCCTTTATCGTGCCTTAATGTTTTTAGAGTTATAGAAAGTGGGTTTTTATATCAATGCAATGTTTTCCATAAATCTGTGACTGATGTTATAAGGGGACAGTTAGCAGACAACCATTTGGAAATATGAAATACCATACTGTGAAATATATTCATCATAGCCTGCTTGTTTCACCCTAACAATCTGGAAAGTAGAAAGTAATCCCATAGTTTTCCTCTGAATCTGTTACTAATTTCCGGATTTGTAAGTCAATAGAATTGTTTTTACACTACTAATTCCTGGTCAGTGAAAAACTCTGAAATGTCAGCATTTCTATGGTTTCCAGTAAAGCCACAAAATGCAAAGTTGTTTATATGTATATGGGATTTTGTTTATTAAACCGAATATATGACTTTTGGTATTTGTCCCCCCCCCCCATACAAAAAGTCTTCATAACACTAAGTAATGTTCATACAAGTGCTACACACAAAAGTTGCATATTTATTAAAGAAAATTTCAACAAGTTTCCACAAAATGCAGCAAATTGTTTTCACGGCAATGTAAACATTTAAGAGCATTTGAACAAGAAACAATAGCCCGGGATAAAGTACAATTTAGAAACATTGTTTCAAAATGCAATAAGGAATCCAGCGAAAGGCTGTGTAATAACAAAAAACAACAGCCTTCATCTGCAAAGAGAAATCACTGAACAGTAATGGAAGGAGAAAACAAAACTACAGCTCTATGAACAAGCAGAAGTGCTTATTGTTGCTATTATACGGTTTATGGTATTAGTTAAGACAAAAAAACCTTAATACATCAAGCTGTTGGCAATATAAATGTGATTAACCAAAAAAAAAAAAACACATTACATAAGTAACTTGCCTCTTAGGATACATCAACCATCTACTGAGTGGTTTACATTAGTCAATCTTCTGTTTTTCATTTTCACTCTCCGGCTCATATACTTCTGCCTGGGATTCTTGCAAAACACCAACAAAAATGATGTCATCGTCAGACGCATCCTCAACCCTCAGGGTCAGATGAGTAACACGTGAATCCTCGGCGCTGGTGCAATCAGATGCATCTGACTTTTCTTGTAAACCTGTGAAGCACACTGCCATCAGTTCTCACTTCAACCAGAAATTAAGATTTTAAATAAAAACAGTGGGACTGTTAATGATTTTCCCATTTATATTTGCACTCAAATGACTTACATGAAGATTCTTCAGCATCAGCATGGATTTCTGGAGTAATTGGATCTCCCTGAAGCTGATGTTTTCAAAGTGCGGAATATCAATAAACGCCTCACATGTGTGGTTAATGAATAAAATAATTTAACAGCAAGCTTATAATACCGTGCCATCAGATGCAGTGTCAGACTCTGTTCCATCACTGGTAAGGACAATAAGATCTTCAGTAACATCTAGAAAAAAAACAAAAAAACAGATGCTAAACATCGACACTATATTTGTTAAAATTTAAAGACTTTCATTTGAATACGGAATGCAAAAATAACATACTATTAAACTCCTCAAGCAAGTCATCCGTTTCGAGCTCAGTCTCACACACCCCCTGTGTTTTCAAAACCATATGAAAGGAATATATTTTTAGCCACTAGGTGGTGTAGGTCTTTAAGATAAATGAGAGAAAGCACAAAACACCTTATCATGGGGAGTCACATCAAGGAAATCCATCAGCAAATACACTCCAGTGCTCATGTTGGCAGGATCTTCTAAACAGTCACATTTTACAAATTACAATAAAACAAAATTAAAAAAAGACAATACTAATTTAAGTTTATTGGCGTTTTTATCTCCAAGAAGTATGAAGTGTAACCTCTTTGCTCTCCAGATGAAGTATTTAAATCCTCTTGTGGATCCTTGCTTTCTACCTGTTCAGGCTGAAGTACAAATAAGTTGAAGGAGTGGGTTAATAAGATTAAGTAGTTGTAAATCTCATCTCAACAGTCTTATATATGTACTTACACTCAGTACTTGAACAAGATCGTGCACTTGTGCACCTTCCCCCAGAGTATCTACAACTAAACAAATAATACAGCCCTGTCATTTGCATTGAGGACGAAGATAAAGCAGGACAACATTTGGTTTTTTTTATAACCCTGATGGAATTACACACTTCAGTTTTTGTTTGAAAATAAGTCTAGCCAACCGCACATTGTGTATGCAAATTCTTTCACATGGACTTGATTTCATTCGGTCTGAAAATAGATATTCATTCAAATGCAGATTCAATAGATTTAAGATAATCATTTCACACAGACATTATACAGTACATTCGTAGAATAAGGGCACTACACACCATTTATAATTGAGGTCCCAATACTTTTTTAAAAAGTAGGTAAATCAACTAAGCTCGCTCACCCTCAGAGTCTTCAACAGCGGAGCAGGACACAAAACCTGAGACTTGAGGCTGCAAGTAAAACGCATGTTGAGACACTGGGCTATGTGATTCCTATCGGTCAACTGTATTTGTATTTGCTTGGTACAACAGCATCAAAGTGTACCTGGTCTGCATGTTCATCACCTGGATCCATTTGGTCAATTTGTTTCTCTTCACCTTTACATATTAAAAACGCAATTTTGAAAAATTTTGTACTTATGATTTATATACTACTTTGCCACCAATTAATAACACCATAGCATATTTTAATGTGTATAAAGTGTATGCATTTTGTCCTCTACCTTGGCAGTATGTGATGCAGTAATTTTGTATTACTTACCATTTGGTTCTTCTGACTCTGTGGTGACAACATTTTCATATTCTGTTTCTTCCACCTGATGTGATTAGAGGTAGAATTGGTTGTTACACGATCTATTCTCAACGCCTGAAAACATTTTGCATACCACAGTTAAACATCCATTTACCTTTGAAGGACTATTCTTCAATGCAGTGTTTCTCTCCTTGGTTACTTCATCTACAAAACATTTAACATGTTTAAGGATCTTAAATGATTATTTCAGGTGAAAAATGTGATCAGAAACAAAGAAAACAGAGGAAAAAAAGCCTGTGGCATTCTAAGGCACGGGTGGGGTAAAATAACCAAGTAGGACTGCATCACTGACATTTTTCTTTAAAATATAACAAAATATAATACTTACCACTTGGAATTACAGCTTCAATGCCTGAAGTCTGGAATTAAAACACTGGATGAGTAAAAAACGCTTTCAGATTATAATTATAAACAAAAATTGATTCCAGCATGCCACACCTGCAATAGCTTGTCTGGCAGAATTTCAAAGACGTTGAGAGGATCTACTACCACCTCAGAATCATGTTCCACAAGCAACACCTGGGAAAAAACAACAACAACAACATGAGTCTGAAGATGAATCTGAAGTTAAACAAAAGAAAACCTGGGGCCCGTTTTTCGTACGTCGCTTATTACATCGGAGATGATTTGAAAGATTCCAGATCTTCTAATCCTGATAACTGATCTCTGGCTAATGTGGTTCTTCAAACAAATTTGCGTAATAGATTAAAATATCTGGATTAAGTTGTCTAGGATTACTGTGCGTTCTCGTGTTCCCCAAAAAGGGCAGATGTATCAATACTTGAAACCACGATCAGCAATGCACCGATTGGCTGGCGGCGAGACGGCAACGTAAATGACATCATATCATTAAAAAAGACACCTAACGAAAAACTTGACAAATTTCTGAACCTTTATAAGGAAACAGCCAAGCGAACAAAACTACATGAATGGTATAATAGAAAAATGAAATGTGCACTGTTATTAATTTTTTTTTTTTTTACATGATTCCCAATTATTTATATTCATAATTTCTAGTATTTGTACAGGCTTTACATTTTTATTTCAATGTAGTAATTAATTAATTTAATTTTATATTTGAACAGATTTGTTACGTGGCAGCATTAATTAAAGTTTCTTAAGGGTCAAGATCATGTTATCTGCATCTCCTGTGCTCCATCAAACCACTCCCATAATAGCTGCCTCCACTCAAATTAATGCACGACTCTACATTATCTGATTAGCATGTGTGTAAGACTTGAATACAATTATGAAGTAATAATTTTATGACGAATAAATCTTTCAGTGAGTAAAACTGGCTGTGTCTATAGTATTAAAGACTACACAACATTATTATATTATCTTTAAATTAATTTTTAAATGATTATTAATTAAAATTATTGTCCCTGGATTAGTAAGGTACTCTTGAAATAAAGTCGCAGTGGTAGCGGACAGATTTTAAGTATCAATTCTGCTTAAAAAGATGCCATCTAATCCGGTTTACATGAAATAAGCCTGTTCCCGAGCAGGTTTAAGTTTACGGACCTGTTGCTATGACAGCAACTCTGGGATGAGCTTCGAAGAACCAAACAATCCAAGATCATGCCAAATCATCAACAATCAAATCCAGCTAACCGAGTTAGCGACGTACGAAGAACGGGCCTCGGTTTTCTTTAACAGAAAAACAAATGCACGTCTTTTTAAAAATAAATAAATAAATAAAAAAGTGTAATTGAGAAGAGAAATAAATAAATACTCACCAATGCAGCATCTTCAGAACTTTTTAAAATTTGTGCTCTGCACCAATTTCTTCTTACGTGAGACCATATCACACATTCTGACCCAGCAGGCTTTTTCTCTGTAGCTCGCATTAAATAGCCCAAGTCTTTAAAAATTTGAAAAAAAAAATAATAACAATAAAATAAAAGGAAAGAAGGGAGACCTCTTGCATATAGTTAACACCATCTCTAAAAGTTGTACTACAAAATGTCAAAATTCAGGCTTACCTGATTGAATGATCTCAAATGATGGTGACTCTGGTCCCTCAACAATGCATAACTGAGAATCAGTGTTATTCATCAAGAAGCTATCTATATTCTCTGAGGAAATACTAGCTGTAGCTCCCTTGGAGTGCTGTGGCAAAACTACAGGAAAAGGAGTTGTGTCTGTCTCTTTAGCAAAAGCATGCTGGTTTGTTGTGTCTGATGGACTTGTGAAAGCTGAAGCACCTTCCATGACACATATGGTTTCAAGGTCCTCTTGTGAATCAGAGGGAACTATACTCACTGCTTCAGGCGAGGCAACATCTTCAGTAATCATCTCGAGTGGCTCATCCTGACCTTCATTTCCGACTTTTGTACTTGTCAGTAAATCAAGCTGCTCTTGTTCAGAATGCTGTATTTCGAGAAGTGAGGTGCAGGTTTCATTGTCAGCGTCTGAATCATGGATAACTACTGAGTCAATATAAACTTCAGCAGCCACAGAGGCATCGGTGGGCACAACATTTGCTCCACTCAAGTGTTCAACAGATGGAGTTTCAGGACTTTGACTTTTCCAATAGCTTCTCATGGTATCATTGATGACAACACCGTTACAATCCATCTTGATGAAGTGTGGCATTTCAGAGCTCCCCATTTTCTCAACAGTGATATTTAAAAGCTTGTCATTAACTAGCTCAAAGAACACATCATCTGCCTCTTCAGCCCAGAAACCCTTGGAAAGATCAAAACCTTCAAGCTGACAGTCGAATGCCTGAGGGGGAACGTCTGATAGCTCAGGTGGAAGTGCTTTAACATCAACGATATTAACTTTAGCTTCATTTCCATAGTCTACAAATGTAATGGAAAGTGTGTCAAGGTCCCTAGATGTAACTTTAGCTCGATACCACAAATTATCTTCAGTGAAAAGAGCAATGCAAGCACTTCCAACTGGCAGAGATTCCTCACTCAAAGTTTCTTCTGAGGCATTACCAGCATTCTGTAGCACGTCTGAAATCCCTTGAAGTTTGTCTGTTGCCGCATACTGGCACCAGAAGAGCTGAGGACCCTTAATGAATGAGGTGTATCCAGTGATCATTTGACCAGCTGATACGTCAGGGTTCTTGTAATGGGTACAGACCATGATTTCAGATGTCTGCTTGACACCTGGGCTCGTAAGCTCAGCTGCTGGTGTAGCATCATCCCTGCAGGTGGATCCCAACACTACACCATTAACATCAAGTTTCACTTTCCAAATGGTGCCTGACATTTTCACAAACGTGCACATGACCTTTTCAATGTTTTGTTCAATTACCCGTTTGAAGTTGGGTGCAAGTTCTTGGTCTCCACTCTCAACATTCAGTTTATGTACAGAGCAGTGGATGCTGTACCTAGGAAACGAAGCAAACGATTGATCAAGACGACATATTTTTGAAGCAGAAATTGTAGCCGTGTTTCCAAAGTCAACAAATTCGACGTTGATTGTGTCATCAAGGTTTTTTCTTACTGCTGCACGGTACCAGGAGTTATCTTCAGGAAACATTGCACAAACCATGTCTCCCTCACGAATATCACTGGGACCAATGTTGGCGCACCTTGACTGGTCAGCATTCAATTTCTCCACAAGCAAATAAATGTCATCCTCATCAGTTGCAAACTGAACAAAGAAGCTACAAGGGCTATTGCAATGAGAGATGAATACCTCAGCTTGTAGACCTGGTTTTATTACTTTCACTGGGAGTGCCGATTCGTTAAGAAGAGCCTGGGACTTGAGCTGAACACCATCGGTTTTGTCAGATGTACAAGGGTGACGCACATCAGCTCTATCACTGGACTTTCTTTGTGGTTCAAGCCGTTTCTGGGAATTATGCAATGTCCCAAAATCTCTTGTTGGTTCTAGTCCACCATTTGTATGGAATCCCCACTTGCTCCGTGGCTGTTTTGATTCGACATTACCTTGTGCTGCATAACTTTCATGGGACTGTGGAACTTGATCCATGAAATCTCGCTTTAGACCACTGGAGCTTTCCTTCATATGGGTTGCCCCACTTTGTGCACTTCCGTTCGTTGAACTACATCCTTTGAATGTGCTCGTTTCATTTCTATGGATTTCATTGCGAAACTTCTGTCTGATCAGTGCATTCACTTGAGTTTTTCCCTCATAAAGTTCCACCAAAAGCTTTCCTCCTGGGTCTTTTGCCACGATCAAAGCAGTGAAACAATGACTGTCCGCAAAATTCTGAAACCAATTTCCCACTTCACATGGCACATCTTCAGGCATATCTGAGAGCCCACATTCAATTGCCTGCACTGGGACGGACATAATCTCTCCTGCTTCAATTGGAACTGGAAGCAAGTCTGACTTGTCAACTTCCAATGTGTCACCATAATCCACAAAATTGACCACAACTGACGGTTTTGTAGACTTTATTTGGCCTCTGTACCAAAGTCCATCCGTGTATTTTGCAAAGCAAACTGTTCCAAAAGTCTGAGGACACTTGGTTGCCTCTAGCTGACGGCATAGGGAGTTTACCTTGTTTGAAAGTTTCTCAATCTCCTCTGAATTACTGGCAAGATGGCAAAAGAACTGAGTGACACTTTTCACACAGGTGATACTCACTTCCTCTTCACATCCAGTCTTGACTCCATGTGTGGAGTAATAGTAGGTGTCCAGGCGAAAGGGTGGAAGAGGAGCTTTCTTAGAGGGTGCACGATCAGCTAGACGTCTTTGGACAAGGAGATTGCAAATGCTTTGGAATGGGGTCTCCAAGTCCACCACATTGAACACAACTTTCTGGGAGTCATACATTACAGCAAATATGGTGCATTTTAGGGGCACATTCATGCACCCTGCTGTGTCAACAAACTCTTGAAACTGCACTGTGGCTTCAGGGCTCCAGTCTAAAGCTGAGTGAGATACTGGGTGGATCAGGTTATACAAACTGCATCGAAAGGCTTGTCCTTTCATCTTCAAGAATGCTGGAGTGATCTTTCGAAGATCTTCAACAGCAACCTTCTTTGTCTGTCCGTAGTCAATGAACAAGACATCAACATGAGATGTTTGGTGCTTTTGAATGACCAAGGCTCTGTACCATATCCCAGTTTCAGGATGACGGGCAACACAAGCAGCTTCCAAAGGTGGCTGAAATTCACTATGAGCATAGAAACGCTGAATGTCTTGCATTAGCACTTCTAAACATGCTGCATTTCTGGCTTTTTGACACCAGAAGTCATTTGGACTCTCAATGTAGGATACGGTTACCTCCAGTGAGCTTCCAATGGGAAACAAGTATTCCTTGAAAGCAGATGCACTGTCCATTATGGCAGAAGAACTGGAAGGCATTTGAGGCCGAGCTCCTGCCAAGAATACACCAGAGGTGTGTGTGGTTTTTAAACCACAGGGTCTTGTGGCAGAATTATCCACAAAGCTCTTTTCACTGTCTGCAAAATCTGCATTGCACAACAACTTGCTCACATCATTTTCTCCATCTAAACTCGAATCCACTAACTGAACCATGTGAGTGTCATGATGCTTTTCTTTTACATGCAAATCAAGTACTCTGTCCTCGATGAGTTTCGAAAAGAACAATGTAGCCCTCTCATCCCAATGTTTCAGTCTGGATGTAATGCCATAGAGGGAGCACTTTACTGCCACAGCAGGCAGCTGCTGAAATCTCAGAGGCAACTGTCGGAGATCGAAACAATCAACAAGTTCTGTGTTGCCATAGTCGAGGAAGTAAACTTCTGCTTTCTTGTCAACTACCTTATAGATAGCTGCTCTATAGAACACACCATCTTGGGCTTTAGCTGCACAGAGGAGACCAACAACAGGCTTTCTTATCAATCCGTCAGTGCTTGTTGGCTCACTGTACAGATTTCCGAGGCCATTCATTAGCTGATTGAATTTATCGGCGTATCGCTGAGTTTGAATCCAAAACTTTCCAGGGCTCTCCACATGCTGTACAACAGCCCCATGCGATGTGTTAGGTGTGAGACTTTGTGTGAAAAAGACCGGTTTGTTCCCTTTAAGGTCAGAGTAGGTTTCATCAATGTGTGCAGCCACAGTTGTCTCCAAAATCTTGCTCTTTTGAGACGATGGGCTCTTTTGAACAGCAAAGTCTGTAAGGGTCATATCAGAATCCAGTGAACAGTTCTGTTTCAGTTCAAACAGTTTGTTGATGTTTGTGTTCTCCTCTCCGTAAAGCGTGACATAGTGGACACCTTCAGAAAGGCTCTGATACTGAAACTTGGCGATCATTGTGCGGTTGAGCAGGAGAGATTTCAGATAATCAATCTGTGAAACTGTCCAACCCATACCTCTGTCGGCTATTCCATGAAGGGAGCACACATACGTTACGACAGGCATCCTGAAGAATTCTGGGTCAAGTGGACTTATGTTCTCAACTTGAACAAACTGTTTCTTCCCATAATCCACCTGCAAAATTTCAACCACATTGTTGGCAGACATGACCTGCTGCAGCACAGAACGATACCACTTGCCGTCACTTCCTCTTGATGCACACGGGCTGCCTAAATTCTGTTTTTTTAACTGTAAATTGTACAACACTAGACAGGAAACATCCAACAGTGCAAGACAACCAATGTCAAGATTTTAGGCTACAATTTATATCTATAAAAGAAAGTAGGCCTATGTTTTAGGTTTCTCAACGTTTCATTAAATATAACACTAAGGGACAGGAAACAGGACAATGCACTATGGAAATACACTTTACAGAAACACCTTATACTAGGGATGTCAATTTTCGATCATTTCCATGATCGATCGTCGTTTAAATTAACGATCAATTAATCGATTAATCATTAACTTTAATGCAGCAAAAAGCGTCTATTGCAGCAGCACGCAGTCACCGGCATTACAGGATGTGCAAAAGCCACTCAAAAAAAAACCCCGCTTTCTCACCCGAATTAAAGGGGTTTTAGTCTGAATAAAATGCTAGTAGCAGGATTGTAAAATGAATAGATGTGATTATGATCATTTGATAAAATGGAGAGTGCGCCGTACGTTTGAGATCATTTTATTTTGTTGACTGTTTCCTATCCCGACACGGAGACCGCTGAAAGCACCTCTTTAAATGGTTTCGTGGTGCTCGTTATTGTATTTTAAAACACTATTGCAATATTTTCAACTGACATTATGGCATTTAAAATTAAATTATCCCAAACTTAACTGTGGCGTGTGTGGCTGTGCTACGCAGTCAGTGAACCGCTTCCATCGGCGCTGCTGCAGCAAAACACACTGTTGCTAACATGAAACATTTTTATGCGAGTATTATGACCAGTACTTAATTTGATCCTGCTGGATCCCGTTCCGGAAAATGTCAGATTTTAATTTTTTACATTCCGGTAAGCCTATTTGGTTTTAAAAATCCGGCATTTACAGTGCATTAGATCAGTGCATTAGATCGTGACAGTGCATGCTTGCGTGCATACGAGACGGAGCGAGCGCGGGTTTGGCTAGATGTATTTGGAGGTTATTACTCACGTCTCATTCGGCACAAATCTAAATGTTTCCATATTCGCAATGTATTTGAATGTTAAACTATTATTTATAATGTAAACTATGCTTGTACTTTACACGCATTCGCATATAGACTGAAAAGATCATCCTCTTCACATGAGCAAAAAAGTCCTTGGCATAACAGCAGAGTGGACCGGTATACTACGGTCTATTTAAACTGACCAGTGTAACCTTTTATATGTTTGGTTGACTATTTTATTTTGATAATGAACAGACTGCGATGCAAGTTTGAATTGCTAGAATATGTGGGGTGTGTGCACACGAGGCGCCGGTGCGATCAAACAGCTGAAACATAAAAAACTAAATTTTTGGAGTAAGATATATAATCTGCAAAAGTGTTTACTTTTATTTTTGCACACTCACAATAAAAACAAGATTTGTGCTTTTGCAAAATAAAGCAAACAAACAAAATGCGCGTTGTCATCCTTTCCCAACCCTCTACATTGCGAGTAAATCACTCGCATATGCGACTAAATCTTCACTCTGGCGACTAAATGATGTCTATTATTAGCCAATTGCTAATAAATTCTCAGATTTTACTCGCCAGTGTGTGAGTTGGAGGCTAAGTATAAGTTTAGCTCAGATATATTTTCACTCGCCGAACACTCTCTGACTGAGCGCATCAGAGTTTCACTCTCCGCCAAGCGATCTGTGCTGTTTTTCAGTTCATCTGAATGGACGTGCAACGCACAACGTACTGTAAACTCTAGTGTGAAGGCGCATGACTCGCCGTCGCTTTGTTTCACACACACGCAGCGAGAGAGGGAGAGAGAGAATTGACGAGCTACCCATGCGTGCTACATGTAAACGATATTCTTTGTTGTATTTGTTGTAAAAAATAACGGAGTTCCTTTGGAATTCTTCCGCTTTTAAGAACTACCGCTTTCTCCGGTAGTGGGCGGAACTAATGCACAAATGGCAATCTCATTGGCTGGCGCTCACCTATTATCGTCCCTGTTTTGATTTCAGCACATCAGTTCGAGCGAACGCACACAACCTGCTTAATATTCATGAATTCAGTAGCTCATTAATCCTTGGTGCGTTTTATATTGTTCTTATTAGTAGAATTCGTATCATTATTATCTAATCAGTATTTTTGTTAGTTTTTCCCCAATTTAAATTTTTTTTACAGAAACACCGAATGACCAAAAAAGCACCACCACCAGTCCGAAGTTCAGTTAAAATGACTAATATGCATTCAT